GACATAACATTGAGAGAATAAGTTAAAACCATTTGATATATATATATATATATATATATATATGTATATATATATATATATACATACTGAATTAAGGTCTCTATATAAATTTTTCAGATTCTAGAAGCAAATGAGATCTACTCATCTTGTGGGAACCAAGGTAATTCTCATAAGTTTCCTTACTTATTAAATCTGTTACCTATCAATCTGTTGTCACCTGCCTCTTAGGCCTCTCCTTGCCCTCTGAGTAAGGAGCCAGTTTGCTAACCAGCATGGTCCACCTGATGTTATCCCATAAGACTATCTTCACTCTTTTTCATTCTTTTTTCTTTATGCTCCTATGATTGGATAAATTCTACTGTCCTATCTTAAAATGTTCCAAGTTGTTTTTCTGTTTCATATTTTCTTATGTTAAATCCCTATATTGAAATTTTCAGGTCAGTTCCTGTATTCTTCAGCTATCTATTTGTGTTTGGTACTTTCTATCCCTTGTTTAAATTTTCACTTTGTTCATTCATTGTTCTCGGGACGTCAGTGAGCATCTTTGGACCCTTATTTAGAACCCTTTTTCAGGTAAATCACTTACCTCTGTTTCATTAATGTCTTTTCTGAGTTTTTATTTATTTATTTTTGTTTATTTGGAATATAATTCTTTGTTTTTCATTTTCCTTGACTCCCTGTGTTGGTTTCTGAAAATTAAATAAAACAGCCACCTCTCTCAGTTTTAAAGAAGTAGCTTTTGTAGCAGATAAAACCTCCCATTTGACTCTGACTTACCTCTTAGTTGTTTCTCAGACCTTATAATTGCCCAAGCAGTCTTCTTATTCTTAATGGCTACCAGTAGTTTAGAATATGCCAAGACCTTTTAATCTCCCAAAGGACAGACTCTCAGTCAATGCCTAGATACAGGCTGATTGGAAGGCAGACTTTCAGGTAACAACTTTTAAAGTATGCAAACATACTTTTTTTAGGTGAAGATTGGAAAATGGGAGTTTCTCTCTTCTATATGAACTGATTCCTGGGGGAATGGGCAGCTAAGAACTCTTTCTTTGTATGACACCTTCTCCTTGAATCCATAAACACAAGCCCTGCTGGCTATCAGAGCCAGGCTACCAATGGATGTGTATCCTGAATGACAGCCACAACAGCTAGGGATACCAAACAAGTACACAAGTTCCTTTTGGGGGATATCAGTGACCTGGGGTGGGACAGAGGAAAATCATGAAGTTGGCTTCCATTGGCCTCTGTGATCTCTGGAGAGTATTGCTGTTGGCTCCTAGGTGTGTGTTAAATTAGAAACCTGTGCCCCAAATTTAGAAATACACTTTTTTTTCCAAAAACAAATATGCTACTTTCACATAAAGACTGGCTTGTGTCAATCTGTTGCTGCTGTGTGTTGAGCCATGGTAAGTCACATAGGACCTTTATTAACTGTCTCTGTGTTTGCTGTAGCATTGTGGGACATGAACACAAGCCCCCTTGGCTTTCAAAGCTAGGTGTTTTGGCAACTCATCCTGTACATAGAAATCTTAAAAGTTGGAGCATCACATGTGATGTACATACCCATTGCTACTCAGGGAGAAGCTGGGAGTTCTGAGTTCCCTCCTGGTTGTGTGTCACTATACCAGGTGTGGAGTTTATGATAACATAGTGTTACGGCCTTTCTTATCTGTTTCAATATGAGTTTTCTCTCATTTGCCCAGTGTATAGAAGTCACACAGCTAGTTTCTGGGTTTCTTTCAGAGGAAATTGTTCTGTATGTAGCTGAAGATTCAGTGTGTCCATCACTATCTTGGACTAGACCATTATAACTAATTTAGATGTAATAGGTGGTGATTTTATATTTTAATCAAATCCATTAGTCTGCTAGTACAATTAATGTTCTAAATCTACAAATATAAAGGAACTTTGTAGAGAGATAAAGGTGGATTCACTGATGAACAAAATAGATCCAAAATCATAGAAGCATGGAAAACTGATACATCTCAGAGGGAATGCGGGGGTGGGTGGGGAAAGATTAACCAAAAAACTTATATGCATTTAGGCATAGCCATGGACACAAACAATAGTGTGGTGAAGGCCTGGCGGGGTGGGGGGTATGGGATGGAGGAGATCAGTGGGGAAAAATAGGGGCCTTCTGTAATAATTTCAACAATAAAGATAAATTTTTTAAAAAGATGGATTCAACAGGTATATTCTAAAATTTAGCAGTTTTCTCAAAACGTCTTATATCTAGAAGTAAGACACTATAGTTACTGAAACTATCCAGGTCTTTGTCCTCTGTTGGTGGTCCTGAAACATCTAGTGGCTTCCAAAGTTTATTTTTGCATTTGGGGAGCACTGGAAGCATCTTGTAGAGTCAAAGGTGTCACTTAAAATGATCAGGAGTACTCTTCTAGGAAGCTAGGCTAATGGATTTGCTGGTTAGCACAGTCCAACATTGTAGGGTTGCTTAATCGAAGCTGGTAATTCACAATCCATGGAACAAAGGTTTTTCAGGGTTCATCTCAATTTTGAAGAGAAAGTGTGGGCAGGAATATGATTTTCCAAAACATACCCATCCAAATTTTAAAAGTTCACTTACTTTGGAAATATACTAATGCAACTATTAATACATGGTACTAAGGTAACATGAACTATTGCATGTGGTTCTGTGTCAATCTCAAGGTTATCACAAATTGGGGAGAAAATAGCTGAAGTGATACAAGTCAGATAAAGTAATAGAATCACTGAAGTGAAGGAGGAACAAAAATAAGGTTTGATTGTTGTCCTTCTAAATTAGGCTCAGTGTCATGAGGACAGATGCCCAAAGAAATAGCATTTTAACACTTGACTCCTAATTTCAAGGAATGAGCTGATGATAATCTTTATTATTTTATTATCAGGGAGAGAGACATTTGTAAATAATGAGGCTTAATGAACACATAACAAAAGTTGTTATATTTGTGGTTGTTGATGTGCTTTTATCTGCATAAATGTCTTCTTTTTATGAAAATACTAGTGTCCTGGTACACAGATTTGTGCACATGAAAGGAAATTAATTAGAAGAAATATTTTAATATCACTATTCGCCCTTTCTTTATAATAGAAGTGTCAACCAAATTCACGATCTACAATGACGGGTTGAAATACACATATGCGATTGGTGCCAGCAAGAGCTTTATATGTATCATGCATGTGTGAGTCATATAGACTTTTATATATATATATCGATAAACTTGCTTAATTAGACCTGCTTTCTGATTTAGCTAAACTTTTTCCAGCTCAATGAAGAACCCAAATTTTCTTTCAGGTAATTTTCAACAACACAGCAGTATATATCAATAAGAAGCAGATTATTATGGTAGATCATGCAGGTAGAAAAAAATGGTAAAATATTTAACTGTAGCAGTGTTTGACTATATTCTGCTCAGTGAGAAAACCTGTAGTCATTTTCAAGTTACACTGTTTCTTATTTCTCTTCAGTTGGGTCAAGTTTCTAAACTTTCTAAATCTCCATTGTCTTGCTAATGAAAAGAAAATAGGATTCTACTAAGTCTTCTATCTACCTAACCCAGGACTTCTGTGAGTATAAAATGAGATGAGGCATGGAAAAATGTTTCAAAAACATTTGGTTGAACTGTAAATGTTTGCACCTGGCTATATAGCAAGTCAGATTCCTGGGCTGAAGAAACTCCAAGGAAGCTAGTTGCTAGGGAGAGGATGCCAGGCATTGCTACATGACATCATTACCCAGTGCCCTCAGTGACCATTTCTGGCCTGGGCTGGGCTGTGGTTGCATTTTGTACCTTGGGGTCTTGACAGCTTTGGCTGCGATTTGGTGGGGTGTCGCTCTGGGGTGGTGGTAGGTCCTGTGTCCTACTTGGGGGAAGCCGAGTGTTGGTTTGTCAGCACCAGCCCTCTCATAGTCTGGGACCCCTCGGGGGTGACCACTTGCTAGCTTAGGCCTGCTCCCTGGGGGATTGGGCCTAAGATGGCAATCAGACATCCCTCTGGCAGCCCGGCAGCCCTCGGAGGATGTCCACTTGCCAGCGGGGAGCAGACCTAAGCTGCAGTCAGACATCCTTAATGCTGCTGAGGAGACAGGAAAGGCTCCCACCACCACTGTTGTACTGGCAGCCATCAGCCTGGCTTGTGGTTGAGCAGAGCTTCCCCTGTGGGAGCGCACTGACCACCAGAGGGCAGGCAGCTCCTGCATTGAGCATCTTCCCCCTGGTGGTCAGTGTGTGTCATAGTGACCAGTCATTCCCAGTCTTTCTGCTGTTAGGGTCAGTTTGCATATTATCCTTTTACTATATAGGATAGAGGCCTGGTGCATGGGAGGGGGCCAGCTGGTTTGCTCTGAAGGGTGTCCTGGATCAGGGTGGGGGTCCTGCTTGGGTGCCTGGCCAGCCTGGGTGAGGGGCTGATGGCTGTTTGCAGCTGGTCATACCCCCTTCAGGGTGGGGGTCCCCACTGGGGTGCCTGGCCAGTCTGGGTGAGGTGCTGAGGGCCATTTTCAGGCTGGCAGGCAATTGAAGCTCCCAGCCTCTTTTTTTTTTTTTTTTTTCAAATTCTGGGATTTATTTACCTTCTATAGCTGTCACTGGAGCTGAGAGCCGGCTCAAGCTCTGAGGCCGTTGCTGGCTCAAAACAGGTATCTGGGTTTGTTTAGCTTCTATAATTGAAACTCTGTTGCCATCACTGGCACTCTAAGCTCTGAGGCCCTGGCTGGCTGAAAGCAGGTATCTGGGGGTTTGCTTAGCTTCTATAATTGCAACATTGTTGCATCCAGAGCTCAGAGCTTGGCTACAGCAGGCCAGGCTGGGAACCTTGGCTTCCTCCATCGCCGGGGCAACCAAACCTCATGTTCACTTCAGCTGCATGGCTGCTGGCCGCCATCTTTGTTGGCAGTTAATTTGCATATCCTGCTGATTAGCCAATGGGAAGCGTCGCAGAGGTATGGTTAATTACCATGTTTGTCTATTATTAGATAGGATGATAATAGAATAAATGCATACCTTCCAGAAGATCAATTTGCTGATGGATCAGTATCTCATCTACCTAATATCATAAAAAAATTAAGCTGTTAGTATACATCATGATTTTTTAAGTTAACCAAATTAAGAATCATTTTTATATTTTAAAATGTATGTAAATAACAATATTTGTCAATATCAATATTTAATAATTGTATTAATTTAAAGTGTAAAACTAAGGTTAAATAGTTTATAATTTATAAAGAATGTTGAGTATGTTCACTATTAAGCTGAGCAAATTACTTTGACAGAAATACCTATAAAAATGAGAAAACACTATTCATTCTAAAAGATGTTTAGAAATTAGTGAGACCTTTTCATCCATTTAAAAAACTTTTTTCTATAAATTTCAAAATTATTTTCTATGTATACTTGATATCATTATTTGTAGTAAGAAATAACTTCCTTCTGAGATGTGTCAGTCTGTTCCATGCTTCTATGTCTCTGTATCTGTTTTTTTCACCAGTGAATCCATCTTTATCTCTCTACAAAGTTCCTTTCAATTTGTAGATTTAGAACATAAATTGTACTAGCAAAGTAATGGATTTGATTAAAATATACAATTACCACCTATTATATTTAAATTACTTATAATAGTTTAGTTCAAGATGGTGATGGACACTCTGAACCTATAACTACATACAGAACAATTTCCTCTGAGTCCCTGATTTTAAAAAAATCTACTTAGTTATTTCTTGAATATGTGAACTACTAAAATTCTTATATGCTGCTCAAGTGCATTATGAGAAATTAAATTAGTAAAGAGAGTAGTGATTGGCTATTATAGGAATATTTATTTATTTATAAATTGATACATTAGAACTTCTGTTTCTACTTTATCTATAAGATTCCTAATACCAAACAAATATAAAGTCTCATATTGCTGATAAACTATTTTGTAGTACATAAAGTCCAGGATTTTATTTTTTTATTGGTAGTGTTAACCCTCAGGAAGAAGATACCTATCAAGAAGGGATCCTGATGACTAACTGGGCTCAAATTTTTAAAAAGATCTTAGTAGCCATTTCTAAACAGAGGCCTCTTATGCAAGCCACACTTCAGGGAGAAGTCTGCACTAAGGTGCATGCCTCCTGCACTGAACTGCCTGCCTGCACTGCGTTCCTGTCATCTGGGCCAGCCTGTTTAAAGGAGTTCCTGGAATTGTATTTCAACCAATAGGACTGAGACTTTCCCTGTCCATTCAGAGCTGTGGAGCTTTGTTCTTATCAATATCTTTACTGATCAATCAGAGCAGTTTCATTCTGATGAATTAGGATAGGACAGCTTTTAGGATCAATCAAACTGTGAGGATTTAAAGTCCTCATTTGCATGAGGACAGACCAATCAGCAATGAGGGATAGGGAATTTATTTCTATGTAAGTCAGCTCCCCTCTGACTCAGGGAGCATAATTTCCCTTTCCACCATACACTGAAGATTGAGTTTCCCTGGCTGGAGCTGCAATACCAAAGATGTTTCACCAGACCAGAATGGAGCAGCCAGGAGTAGTGTGGACCAGAGTAGATTGGGGAAGAGCACAGCTGTCTAGTTGGAGAGAGGCCTCACCCTTGGGGTGCCTCACTTAAGAGCTGCCTCACACTGGGATGTTCCACAGCCATGCTATTTCATAATTAATTGCAACAAAATTGAGCTGTTCCACAGCCATGCTGAATCTCAATTGAGTTGTTGGCACTGATCAAAGTTTCCTTCTTCACTGTACCTTAAATAGGGAATTCCTATAGGCATTGAACTGGCACTAACAACTATTGGTTGACAATAGTTTCTATAAAACTGGGTTTTCTGAAGAAGAAAAGCATCATAAAAATGTAATTTTATTAATTAAAATAAAAAGTGAGTCATATTATATAAAATATTCAAACTCTTTTCTTGGTACCACTTATTGAAACTCAGCACTAAACTTTGTTGTTTATTATTTCCTACGCCTAGGAAATTATTAAGTATTGGGATTAGGGAACCAGGATACAGAACCAAAGTTCAAGAAGTAAAAAGCCATTCTTACTTCCTTGGCATTTTGATGCTGAACATTTCATGTAACTTCTCTGGACCTCAGTTTCTTCTTTCATAAAATGTTAATAATTATAGCACCTAAATATCATAGCATTTCTAAAAGGATTAAAGTAGTTAATACTTGTATTAGAAACAAAGACTGGAAAATGGTGCTTAATAAATGTTTGCTATTGACTGGTATCACAGATTATATTCAAGATCATAGAAAATACATGTGCTTTAAAAGTAAACCTAACCTAGAAGAATTAGAGTAATTTGTTAATAAAAAAAAATGTTGTGAATTAGCCATTTGTCAAAAGTAAACTGGAAGCACAGTTTTATTTGAGGTATTTGTAATTACCTGACTTAAATATTCCAACCCTGGTGGACAGTCTGATGGAGGTGGTGATGCTGGCATCCATGGTACCCCTTCTGGTCCACCTGGCTGATTATACACTGGCTGGTGTTGGACAGGAAAGCCCACTGGACCAGCACCTGAATAGCCAGGGAGTGGAACTGAGTAGTCAGCCTCGGGGTGAGGATAGGCATTCTGGAGGCCAGGTTGGCCACTATATACTGGAGGTCCTGAAATATGAACAAGTAAAATAGTTTGTATCTGGACAGAAAAACAGAAACATTAATCAATACATTTAGAATTTCCCCAGTTATCTACAAACTTAAATTTCAAATTAAGAAGTATATATGCAACCCTATGTTCATAGCAGCACAATTTACAATTGCTAAGATTTGGAAACAGCTCAAGTGCCCATCAGGAGACAATTGTATAAAAAGGCTGTGGTATATTTACACAATGGAGTACTATGCAGCTGTAAAAAAAAGAAGGAACTCTTACTATTTGCAACAGTATGGAGGGACCTAGAAAGTATTATGCTAAGCAAAATAAGCCAGTCAGAGAAAGATAAGTATCACATGATCTCACTCATATGTGGAATCTGATGAACAACATAAACTGATGAACAAAATAGATCCAGAGACATAAAAGCATGGAACAAACTGAAAATTTTCAGAGGGAAAGTGAGTGTGTGTGTGGGTAGGGAGAGATTAACCATGGAACTTATATGCATACATGCATAGCCCATGAACATAGAAAATAGCATGGTGGATCCATTTTTTATGTTTTCTATCTTTTTCTTAAACTTCTCACTGAGGTCATCTACTCTTTCTGTAAGTTCATTGAACATCCTTGTAACCAGTGTTTTGAACTTTGCATTTGGTAGATTGCTGGTCTCCATTTTGTTTAGTTCTTTTTCTTGAGTTTTGTTCTTTTTTTTTCCAGTTGGGACATATTTTTGGTCTTCTCATTTTGGCTTCCTCTCTGTGTTTGTTTCTGTGTATTAGGTAGATCTGATACCTCTCCCAGCCTTGCTAGTGTTCTTATGTAGTAGGTGTCCTGTGGGGCGCAGGGGCACAATCTCCATGCTCACTTGAGTCCAGTGTGTGTGCCCTCTGTTGTAGTTGAGCCTTTATTGCTGTTGGAACGTCAGTCAGAAGGACTTACTCTCAGCCTGATTGATTGGCTATCAGGAATTGCTGTGACTGCAGCAGAGGAACTGTTGTTGTGCAGGGGCTGACCCCACAGAGCAGAATTCACCTTAGGGGCATCTGATGCCTGCTGAAGTCAATTGTTGTCTTCAATTGCTGTCTTCACCTGGTGTGAGCGACATAGCTCCATGCCCCAAATTCTTAAAATGATGTAAGACTTGATTCATTTGGATGAAACATTCAAAATTAGTCACATGAAATTCTGTGTAAAACTAAGGTTTATGTTACAGAAATATTTTATAGTCTATCACCTAGCACTTCCCAAAGTGATGTGATCACAAAACATTTATGTGGGAATATGTATAACATGCTAATATCTCAATAGCTAGGCATCCTTGAAAAATGTTGTGTGAGATAAAGTCATCTATATCCTCCACTGAATTACCCTCATCATGAGTTTCTGTCAATTGCTTCTATAATGTTCACCAACACATTCCTTAATTAGGAGCTATAGAGGAAATTAACATTTCAATAATTTCCTTGAGAATGTGATATATTTTAAATTATATATTTTGCTCTCAAAAATATCTATACTTTTAGTCCTCTAATACACAAGCCCTTAATATTATTTTGCCACTTACTAGTTTTTAAACATTACAACTTCTTTTGTAAATCAATTAAGTCACATTGTTACATTATTTTGACTTGCTAGTTAGTAGAGAGAGAAACCAATACTACTTGGAGAGATACAATGAAATGTTCCAGGAGGGCATTTAAAGATGAAAATTATTTCAAAAATAAAAGTACAGATCACTTTTAAGCTACTTTTGACTGCCAAGCTAAATTTGAAATAGCTTCAGAAAGTGGAATAGATTGCCTAAAGAAAGTAAACACAGAACTTCAGAATTAATGAGAAAACGTCAATGTATATTTTCATCCTAATGGTGCAGCAGAGTGCTTTTAAAAGCATGCACACTAGCTGTTTGTGAGGCATTGTGCTATTTTCATTAGAATAAGAGACTTTACAGGATTAATAAGGCAATTATATGTTATGCTGCTTTCTTTGAATTCCCCATTATAATGTCTTTGAGGAATTATCTGGCTCCCTAAAGGTTAAACTGAACATCAGCCTGAAACCATATGAGTTCCTCTGCAACACATATCATTAAGCATTACCATCAAATCTCATGGTGGAAGATAAAAGACATGCTAACTACTGAGGAGGCTGAAGTATAAATCTGGAATTAAATATGCTTCTTTCAATACCACGAAATCTATCAAGCCACTTATCAACCAGAACACAAAAGCATTTTGTGAGCTACATAAAATAAAATTTAAAACAGATAAAAAAAAAAAAGAAAAGAAAATAGCATGGTGAAGGCCTGGGAGGGGCAGGTGCAGGGTGGAGGTAGTTAATGGGGAAAAAAAAAAACAAGAAAGGGGACATATGTAATACTTTCAACAATAAAGGTAAAAGAAAAATAAATAATTGAAACACCAAAAGCTCACCGGGAAAAAGAAAGAATACTGTTTCAACAAAGCTTAAGGTTTGTGTTTTTGTCTTTCAGCAAGTTTTCTATTAAATATCTGTGGTTTCATATATACTTCTATTATGAGGGTGGTGGAATGTGAATCAAGTCAACTTGCAGCCTTACCATTATTGTTAAAAATTTAGATATAAATGTTAGAAACCTGAGGAAAATAAATAAAGTCAACAATGATCTATAGTTGCCTACATAAAGATTCTGGAATTTCTTCATGGAAAAGAGAGACGGCATTGGGAAGAAGGCCAGTCATAGAAATTGTGAGCCAGTGTTTCCAGAACCAAAACAGACTGCAAAAAATGATATTTTAGAACTCTAACAAATAGTAGCTCTTTGATGTATAGAATTGGGGCCAGTTGTGTCCCCTCAAGGGATATTTGGCAAAATCTGAACATGTTTTTGGTTGTCATAATGGGAGGGGATAGTGATATTGACCAGGAATGCTGATAAATATCCTAAAATGCCTAAAACAATCCTGAGGAAAAGAATTTTCCATCCAAAAATATAATGCCACTATTTAAAAACCCAGGTACAGAGGTAAAGGCCTGTCATTCCATTTAGTACTATCCAGATACTTGTGTGAGTTAACATTTGCAAGAAGTTTTTGAGACCCTCTAAATGAAAAAAAAAATCCACTATGATCCTAAATAACAAAGAAGTAATAGGCAAATTGACCATCATGCCCTCGCACAAGATGGCCACCCCCATGTGGCCACATGATGGCTAGAAGGGGAGGGCAGTTGTTGGTGATCATGTCTGCAGGGGAGGGAGGGCAGTTGGGGGGACCAGGTTTGCAGGGGAGGGGAATTGGGGGCAATCAGGCCAGCAGGGGAGCAGGTTAGGGGGTGATCAGGCTGGCAGGCAGAAGTGGTTAGGGGCAATCAGGTAGACAGGCAGGCAGGTGAGCAGTTAGGACCCAGAAGTCCCAGATTGTGAGAGGGATCCCAGATTGGAGAGGGTGCAGGCTGGGCAGAGGGACACCCCCCAGTGTATGAATTTCATGCACTGGGCCTCTAGTATTGAGATAAATTTAAATTTCACAATTTAGTACCCTCAGCTCTCTTGAAATACAATTTGAGAACCAAGGTAGGCAAAACATTTATAATGAGCAAAACTGTCTTAATTACATAATAGGCACAGTGTATGTTTTCTATTCCATGCGAATTTTGATGACAATGAAGCTTCATAAGCTTATATGTATAGTGCATAGAATAATAATTTCATAGAAATAGAATATAATTTTAAAGTACTGAGCTCCAAAATATTTTAAAAGTCAGGGCAATGCAAAATTTAACTTAGAATATGCAATTTATAAAAACTGAGCCTCCTGATCACCACACTCTCTGTCTGAGGAACAACAGCTGTGTGTGAAGCCTCCCCCCACAAGCCAAGGAGCCACCACAACTGTGAACAGCACCCACCAGAGGAGCTTCTACCAACTGAGGAGCAGCTGCTACTACAACCGCCTGAAGAGCAACCGCAGCCCAAGAAGCCACTGCCACCCAAGGAGCAGCCACTTGATGACTCAACATCTAGATATGGTGGTACGATCAAACATGGGTAGACAAAGAAACCCCCAAAGGAAAGAAAAGGAGACCTTGCCAGAAAAGCAGCTAAGTGATACAGAGGCATGCAACATGATAGAAAAAGAATTCAGATTAAGGGTCCTAGAGTGCATAAACCAGATGGAGGAAAAAATCAACAACTTATGCAAGAAGCAAAAAGAAACAAATGAAAAAATCAATAAATTATGTAAGAACCAAGAAGAAATGAAGAGTGATATAGCTGCAATAAAAAACACCATTGAAAGTTTCAACAGTAGACTAAGAGAAGCGGAGGACCGAATAAGCGAATGAGAAGACAGGGGGAAAAAAACACACCCAAACTGAACAACAATTGGAGAAAAAAAAATTAAAAAGACAGGACGAGAGCCTAAGGGATCTATGGGATAACATGAAACAAAATAACATACTAATAATAGGGGTGCCAGAACAACAGAAAGAGGAACAAGGGTAAGAAAACCTAACTGAAGAAATAATATCAGAAAACTTCCCAGAAGTGGGGAAGAAAAAAGTCACACAGCCCAGAGAGTCCCAAACAAGGTGAACCCCAAAAGGCCCACACCAAGACACATCATAATTACCAAGGCAAATGTTCAGGACAAAGAGAGAATCTTACAGGCTGCAGGAGAGAGACGAAAAGTTACATTCAAGGGATCTCCCAGTAGATTATCAAATGATTTCTCAACAGAAACACATCAGGCCAGAAAAGAATGGACAGAAATTTACAAAGTGAAGCAAAGCAAAGGACTGAATCCAAGATTACTCTATCCAGCAAGGCTAACATTCAAAATTGAAGGGAAAATAAGAAGCTGCACAGACAAAAAAAAGGTTAAGGGAGTTTATCACTACCAAGCTAGCAATGCAAGAAATGCTAAAGGGAATGGTGTAAAAAGAAGAAATAAAAAGCTCAGAAAGAAAACACCCACACAAAAAAAGAAATGGCTACAAACAAATACCTTTCAATAATAACTTTAAACGTAAATGGCCTAAATGCTCCAACGAAAAGACATCGAGTGGCTGAATGGATAAAAAAACATGACCTATATATTTGCTGTCTACAAGAAACCCACCTCATAATAAGGGACTCACACAGACTGAAAGTGAAGGGATGGAAAAATATCTTTCAGGAAAATGGAAATGAAAAAAAAGCTGGGGTAGCAATACTTATACCTGACAAAATAGACCTCAAAGTGAAGGCCATAACAAGAGATGAGGAAGGCCACTTCATAATACTAAAGGGATCAATACAACAAGAGGATATAACCCTGATAAACATATATGCACCCAATGCAGGAGCACCCAAATACATAAAAAAAAGCTCCTGGAAGATATCAAAGGAGAGATCGACAACAATACAATCATAGTAAGGGACTTTAATACACCACTGACATCACTGGATAAATCCTCTAGACAAACAATCAGCAAAGAAACAGCAATCCTAAATGGACTTATTTGCATCTTCAAACACTTCAACCCAAAGCCACGAATATACATACTTCTCAAGTGCTCATGGGACATTTTCACAAGAAGATCACATATTGGGTCACAAGCAAAGTCTCCCCAAGTTCAAGAAGATTGAAATCATACCAAGCAACTTTTCAGACCACGATGGCATAATATTAGAAATAAACTACAATAAAAATAACCCAAAATACTCAGACATTTGGAAGCTGAATAGCATGTTATTAAATATTGATTGGGTTACCAATGAGATCAAAGAAGAAATTAAAAACATCCTGGAAACTAATGACAATGACAACACAACAATCCAAAACCTATGGGAAACAATGAAAGCAATCCTGATAGAGAAGTTTATAGCTCTACAGGCTTATCTCAAAAAACAAGAAAAAATGATAGTAAATCATCTAACTATACAACTCAAAGATTTAGAAAGAGAGCAACAAGAAAAGCCCAGAGTGAGCAGAAGGAAGGAGATAATAAAGATTAGAGCAGAAATAAATGACATAAGACCAAAAAACAAAACAAAAAAAAACAAAAAAAAAACAATACATAAAATCAATGAAACCAGGAGCTGGCTCTTTGAAAGGATAAACAAGATTGATGAACCTCTAGCCA